CAGATCTCACATTTTCCCTCTTTTCCTCCCTGCCTCCAGGGCCTTGTGCCCTTAGACAAGCACTCCACCCCTGAGCTACATTCCCATCCCTTGTCGCCTCTTGTCTTCCCCACCAGGAATAAAAGCAACTCTGTCAGGTCCAGAGAAAGATCCTATACACTTTCTCATCCAGTGCCCATCAGAGAACCTCACCTTTGTCCAAACCTCTTTAACAACAAAGAGTCCAGGACAGGAAATCAATAGTTTCAGCTTGGAGAAGGGGGGAAGAAGGAGGAGGGGGAAAGAAGATGGGACATGGAGAGAAAGGCACTGGACAGAAAGGCACTGGCTGTGGCAGGTAATTAGAACAGGTAAAGGTGAGACCCAGAACCAGGGGAATGAGCCGAAGAAGATGCTCTCCTGCTTTCACCTACTTGTGATGGCGCAAGGACCACAGAGGAGCAGTAGGCAGAAGAGAATTCACACAGGGTAGGATGCCAGAGCTGGTGACTTTTATTCTTCTACCAAGTGGATCCTGAGATTAGAAGCAGAAGACAAGTCCATGTAGTCCTTCCAGGAAGAGCTGATCTGCCCTAACCTTCCAGAATTTCTTCCCTCCACAATTGGCACCTGGAAATGTTGTCCTATTGGTTGTTACCCTGGGCCCAGAAGCTGGGAGCTGCTGGGGCCAATGGTAAGGCAACAAAGAGCTGAGTGTTTTAAAATCTTAGAAGGTCGTCATGTGGTTGGGGATGTAGCTCAATGTCAAAGTACTTGCCTAGCCTCCTGTGAAGCCCTGGATTTGATTCTCAGCACCCCATTAATTTAAAAAAAAAATTAAAACTTTAGAAGGTCAGAGCTGAACGAGCCTCATTTTACCCGCAAGGCCACTGAATACTGAAGCCCAGAAGACAAGGGCTTTCCCTAAAGACACACAGTAAAGTGAAATGGATCCAATAAGAGTGAAAAGACTATCTAATCCCGCAGTCTGCAGAGCCCGTCAAACAAGGAAAAGCGAGGTAATTCATTTTCAAGGAGAGAGGGAGGTTATGTCAGCTTTGAAAAGAAGTAATATGAAATTAATTTCCTAGACAAGGGGGTGGGGATGGTGGAAAGAAATAGCACTCAAGGCCCTGCCCACCAATATTTAATTTTGATTTTCTTAAAGGGGCTAAGATCACCATCACTCAACACTCTGGGTGTTAATATCACTGAAGGGTCCAAGGGGACCCACCAAGCCAGCACTGTGCCAGGGCGCTCTGCAGAGATCCTCTTTCTTCGGGTTAAAAAAAAAGAAGAAAGAAAGAAAACACAAAAAACCCACAAAAAAACACAACACACAGTTAACCACCTGTCAGGGCTGAGGACACAATGAGGCCCCTGGAAAAAGAGCTTTTCATGCATGCGTAATATATTTGTTCAGCTATTCACTTAATGAAGCTGATAAATGTGATGCAAGACAATAGTCAAGTTAATCTATTTAGTAAAATGTTTTGAGACTTTCAGGCTACATTAAGGAGGGGCGCGATCGCCGACATTTTCATTTGAATGCGCTCATCTCTCTTAGGCTGCACAAGGGGGTTCAGGCAATCTATGTGAATATAATTTCTTATAAATGTGTCTTTAATGGGTTTAATTCACCCTTGCCAGCTGTTTTGGGGGCTATTTTGTAAGAGCAAAACAAACGTTTCAGGCTTGGAAAGCTAGTTAAAATTAGTTTCGGTCAGCGAGGCCAAGCTATATTTCCTGCAAACCATCTGCTTGATTGGCACAATAGAAGGATTTTCAAGGAAAAAGAGGGGAGTGAGTGTGAAAGGGATGGGGGTGAGGGGGGAAACGCTAGAAAGGGCTGGGGCAGCCGGTAGCTCCTTGTGGCCTATTCTAAAGGTGAACCCCTTAGAGTTGTCTTAATAGAGAGGCTGGGGCGGCAGGAAAGCTCTTTCAGCAGTGCCTTGCTGCCTCCTCCTCTGCCTGGCGGGTCAGCTCCCTCTCCCAGTCCCCCATCCCTGGACCAGAGGAGCCGGGCAGCAGGCGCTTTTTCCTGCCGCCCCGGGTCCCGCCAGTCTTGCAGAGCGCACTTTCACTGTGCTCGCTGCTTCCCAGCAGACCGCCAAAGCGTGCGGGTCCGCAGCTTGCAAAAGATAGCCTAATGGTAGCAACCATTCCGAAATGGAGACTCTCCATCTTTCAGAGAGCCAGGAAGTTCATGCCACTCTACTTTGGAGGGCCCTTCGCCTCGCTCCGGGGCCTGAGCTTACCCGCGGCGCTACCGGGTCCGCCCACACTGGAGAGCGCAGTGCTGTTGCGCAGGCTGTTGCGGGAGGTGGGGTCTGGGACACCCTGGCTCTCCACTGCCTCGGCGGGAAAGAAACCCTCAGGATGGGTTCCTACCGCCCCAGGAAAGATCTGGCAGCTTTAGGCCCTGAGCGCCCGGGGCCGGATCTGCTACCGCCTCCCGCAGTTAGCAGTCGCCTCAGTGGCGCAGACAAGGACCTCACCCCAAACCAGGGCCCACAATTCTCTTTTCCTCTCCTGTCTTCTTTCCCCTTGAAAGAGAAATAAGCAGAAAGCCCAGCTTGGAATATAGAACGCGAGTGATTTCTCCGAAATAAACTTGAAGATAACGACATTACAATGAATGGCAGGACGCACAAAAACCCCTGGGCTCAGGTCAAACGGCATTAGTCACAGGTCTTAGCCGCAGCCGCCACGCCGCGCAGCCGCTCGGGCTATCGCGGAGTTTGAAAAGACGCGTTCAAGGAGATCACTTAAAGTAAGATCCTTTCCTTCGATTTCTTGCTTCCTTGGGATTTATTTTTGCCTTTTCACAGGCGGCCAGCTCTCGCTCCCGCCCTGAGTTTTCCTCTATGGCGCCTTAGAAATTCTTTAGGAGGCCGTGTCGTCTGACTGCAGGAAGCGGGGTCCACGTGGATCGCAGCAAGGGGTTGACCCACCTTCCAAAAAATGTCAGGGCTGCCTTTTAAAAGCAGAGAAGTTAGCAGCAGTTAGTCTATAATGAGGCAGAATGGCCGGTGTACGTGTGCAGGGGGGTATGGAGCGTGTCAACGGACCGGATAATAACTGCAAAAACTACAGCCCGGGAAATGCCCCAGCGGGGGAGGAGGCCTAGGGAAGGGGGGTGCAACGAAGGCCCCAGGCTGACCTCTAGTCCTTTCCTCTTCCCTTAACAAAACCCAAACTAATTTCTGCAAAGATGAACTTTATTAAGATCATCTGAAAGTCTGGGCAAGTTGCCTTATGGATAGGGACTCCAGCACCTGGAGCCGCCCAAGTCCCTTCCTGTAACTGGCAACTACTGCTCCAGGCCTTTAGACTGCGGGGGCGGGAGGGGGGTGGCGCGGCGGGGAGGTGGAAGAGTATGGAGGGGGGCGGGAGAGAAAAGGAAGACTGGGAGGAAGAGGAAGGGGAAGAGAAGGGGGTGGGGGAGAGCATGTGCTTGAGCAGAGAACTGGGGGCTGTCCGGAGGCGTAAAGGAAGCAGGGAGGGAGGGAGAAGACAGATTCTTTGGCCAAAGAACCTTGTCTTGTGGCAAGGTTAAAGCACAGGTGTTTAAATAGTTTAGACTTTCCTCAACTATTTTATTGCAAAACTTCAAAAAGGAACCCTGCACGTTCTAGGAGAGATCTCCCTATTTGGTTTCCAGGAGCCTCCAATGTACTCTGTGCGTTTAAATGGCCACTTATTTAAAAGTTGTTCCTTTCCTGATTGGTTTTCACCCCCTATCCCTGCTTGCCGGGCCAGTACTCCTCCAAAAGCAGTCTGAGGCTCAAAACTTACATCATCTTCAGGCATTAATTCGTCTCCAGAGCCCTGCCCGAAATAACTTTTTAATTTGAATCAAGGGAGAGCTTTAGCAGGCTACGTTTCTGGTTTAATGTGATATAAATCGCAGATGCACTTTTATTGAATGGTTAAAGCAGCGACATGGAGATCATCAACACAAAACACCCTGAACAAAACCATCGATAGAAATAAAGCTGGTTAATAAGATTTTTTTTTGAGAAGGCTTTGTGTTAAAAAGCAAAAAGGAAAACCAGCTGAAGGTGACAGTTAGTTCATGGTTAATAGGATCAAGGCAGCCTGGCAGGGCTGCACACTTCTCTTTGGGGAGGTTCAGCCACACTAAATAAATGAATGGGACATTTAACACATCTGTTATCTCGTGGAGCAGACAAATAGGAGAATGGAGGCTCATTGCCACCTCTGTCCCAACCCAGAGAAAGTAAAGGGATTGTCGCCAGGATTCTCTAAGTTGCCAAATTTAGGAGAGGCTTTCTGGTGTGGACCAACATTCTTGGGAACTGCATACCTCCCTCCAGTTTTCACTCATTTGTATGTTTGTATGTTGCAGTTAATTAAGAAGCTACAAAACTGTGGCCAAGTTAAGTCTTCCTCAATAGTTAGGGCGCTCTCTGAATGACTTCTGGACCCTTCCACTTCATGGTCTGGCCATGAATTTCAACTCAAACTGCAGAGAGCTCCTTGAGGTTGGAAGAAGGCCAGTGACAAAGTGTTGGGG